CAATCTCTGGTGGTTCCTCCGTGCTCAGATTGACTGAAGGAAACGAAAGGGCACGGCGCCACGGGGTGTGGGGGAGCGTGTGTGGTTCACAGCGCCCCCTTCTCTTTGTTTCCAAATAATTTTGAGCCTTGAAATGCTCTCAGAGCTTAATTCGGTGACTAATCTGAAGCTGACAGCCTTTTTAGTGAACGGACTACCGAGCAGTCACTCTGAGTAGCTTGTACACGGGTCTGAAATGCCAGTGAATGGAAGAAGTAAACTTCCTACTGGTATCTCTCAGCTTTGGACATCTGTTTGCTATAATAGATTAAGAGCAGCTCCTAGGAGGTTTTTTTCCTTGTGTGGATTCAATACTTGCAATTTTTTTTTTTTTAATGTGGAGATTATTTCAATGGGAGGCACGACTTGCAGGTCTGTGAGTTCTTGGAAGGAATCAGCAGTGTGGTGCGTGTGGATATTGTGATCAATATGTTGAACTTAGAGCTCTAAAAAAAACCCCACCCCAAAAACCACCACCACATTCAAACTGTGCCATAGTCTGTGCTGAAAAGCTTGTGAGAGAAAAAGCAAATGCCAGGTGGATTTATAAGTGATTTTTTTGAAAACCAAGGGAGCAAAGTGGAGAGGCAACTGCAATGTAATACTAAAAAATTGTTGTCAATTGTGGTCAAAATGGCAAAGCGTTGTGAAAAGATTTTGCAATATCAGGGGACTGGATAATGAAATAGGAGGTGAAATCCAGTGTTAACACATATGGAGTAATGTATGTAAAAAAAAAGTGAAATATATGCATGCATAATTTATGTGGGGAAATACAATGGCTTCAAACTGAGCTGTTAGGATCCCAAAGAAAGGATTAGCTGAAGTAGTTGCAAGCATTTCTCCAAAATATCTGTTTAATGCTTTGTAGCAAGCAAATAAGCAAATCAGCAAATCAAACATTAGAAGCTTACAATAAAATAGAAAATGTCATTATATTGCTACAGTAATCTACCTTGTGTCTGTGTCTCAATGTATTTTCTTAGTGTATTACCTTATTTAAAAAAAATGCCATCCTATCTTTTTTAAAAGAAATTAGGATGAGAGCTATGTAATGATTTCTGCATTAATAAATTCTAAATAGGTTAGATCTGTCTAGCCTGGAAAATAGATGACTAGAGGAAGGGTGATGGTTATAAAACTGAATAGAGTAAAAAAGGTGAAGTGGTAATGGTTGTGAAATGTCCTCATTATAGAGGAACTGAGTACATAAAGTTAAATGATCAAACTACAGGCTTAAACCAAAAGTTTTCTTTTATACAGCGGGGAAATAAATTGCACCCTCATTAACAAAGAATATTTTGGATACTGAAACTTTTATTATTTAAAGTTCATGGAAGAAAGGTCAACATCTTTAAGCCGTAGTACTAATACTCAGGTAAGGAAATTTCTGAAATACAGATAACTGGGACTGCAAGGGTGTATGAGGGTGCACCTTGTATACTTTCCCTGGTCTTAGGCTATTTTCCTCTGTGTCCTGTACTGTCCATTGTTACAAACTAAACAGTGACTTAAGTGGATATTTATTCTGGGTGTTTTTTTTTATTCAAGCGTCTGTATGTTCATTAGATGTTGTCTGGCTGTTTTTGATCTTTTAGAAGATGAAACATGGTACTTGCTAGGGTTTTTATGTTTTCAGAGTATGCATATGAGATCTTTACCTACTCTTTTGCTGAAAGATTAAAATGATTTTAGAATAGACTATTTCAGTTGGAAGGGACCTACAGCAATCATCCAGTCCAACTGCCTGATCACTTCAGGGCTGACCAAAAGATAAAGCATGGTATTGAGGGCATTGTCCAAATGTTTCTTAAACACTGACAGGCTTGGGGCATTGACCACCTCTCTAGGAAGCCTCTTCCAGGGTTTGACCATCTTCTCGGTAAAGAAATGTTTCCTCACGTCCAGTCTGAACCTCCCCTGGTGCAGCTTTGAACCATTTCCGTGCATCCTGCCACTGGATCCCAGGGAGAAGAGCTCAGCACCTCCCTCTGCACTTCCCCTCCTCAGGAAGCTGGAGAGAGCAATGAGGCCACCCCTCAGCCTCCTTCTCTCCAAACTAGACAAGCCCAAAGTCCTCAGCCGCTCCTCCTTCCAGCCCTGTCACCAGCTTTGTTGCCCTCCTTTGGCACATTTAAGGACCTTCACATCCTTCTTAAATGGTGGGGCCCAGAACTGCACACAGTTCTCCAGGTGAGGCCACACCAAGGCTGAACACATCAGGATAATTCTGATTTTGCAACATGCTGTTCAAAATCAGAAACCAGGGTAACTTTCTCCAGGCCTTTCTACTTTTGTCTGTATGTGACAAATGGAATTGAAGTGTGAAGGATCTCCTTAACTTTGCCTGCTAAACTAAACATCTCTCTAGTGCTTTCTTGCTTAAAGAGAGCAAAAGTAACTAATGACTTTATTTTTAAGTGGCTTATAAATACTTAGCAGTTTGGAGTTCTATATTGTACCTTGAGCTTGGATTCAGTCAATACTTTGCTTTGAATCCTTCATTGTATTTTGCTTTCAACAGGATCAGAGCTTATAAAGTGATTGCTAAAAGTCACCTAGATTTCAAAAGTACTGAACACAGGAAACTGACATGCTCGTTGTTTTTTGAGGGGGATTTGAACTCTTGAAGTGATTCAATAGGATTTGATAATGATTTACAGTATCGGTAACGATTTTTTCCATCATACAGCATTTATTAATTAATATTGGTACACTTCTAGTTCTTGTGCCATGATTATTAATGGAAAATATTGGAGGAAAACAGTGTCAAGACCACTACTAGAAAAAACTGAGTACAAGCTACTTCCAATTTAATTGTCTGTGTCAGTGATAGGCAGTTTCTTATCCACCTTCTTGCCTACAGGCCTCTATTCTTTACAGCCTGTTAGTCTTCGAGGGAGACCGAGTGCTGTGTGTGACAGGATATGAGTAAATGCCATCCCATGAGACATACAAATTAATGGATGTCCTGATTTTCGCTGGGATAGAGTTAATTTTCTTCCTAGTAGCTGGTATAGTGCTGTGGATTGAGAATAATGTTGATAACACACTGATATTTTGGTTGTTGCCAGGCAATGTTTACACCAAGTCAAGGACTTTTCAGCTTCTCATATTGCCCTGCCAGTGTGGAGGCTGGGGATTCAGAAGAAGCTGGGAGGGGACATGGCCAGTACAATTGACCCAGACTGGCCAAAGGGATATTCCATACCATATGATGTCATGCTATGTATGTAACTTGGGGGAAGCTGGCCAAGGGTGGGACTGCAGCTCAGGAACTAGTTGGGTGTCAGTTAGTGGGTGTTGAGCAATTGTGCTGTGCATCCCTTGTTTTGTGTATTCTATTATTACTATTATTATTATCTTCTTTTTTCTGTCCTGTTAAACTGTCTTTATCTCAACCCAAGAGTTTTACTTTTTTTTTCTGATTCTTTCCCCCATCCCACTGGGGGACGAGGAGTGAGCAGACAACTGTGTGGTTGTTTTAGCTTCCTGCCAGGTTAAACCACAACAATGGAGAAACCTGACACAAGAATGGCTGGATATAACCTTGAGTAAGCTTGATCTGATAAGAATATTTTACAGCCATCTGATGAGAGGTATTGAAACAGCCTTATGAAAAGGACTTACAGGGTCAAGAGCCTAAAGAGCTCTAACTTGGATTTTGAGTGGCTTATAAAAGGACTCATGGTGTGAATGCTTGCAGAGAACAATACACTTAAATATCCAGGAGGCATCCTGGGCTCAGATGGATTTCTGCTGCTTATCACAAATATGATGTGATAAGTGTTATCAAAACTTAAATAACGAGGGAGGGGGAGTTAATTTTATCATTTTTCTAAAGTGAAAAGACAGAATTCAAAGCAAAAACTATCATAAATTATTTGGACCAGTTCTTCAGCCATGTGAAAAGCAAATGTTTATGCCTGAATTAGGCATTTATGTCTATAAAAGTACCTTGAATAAATGACCTGGTTTCGTTCTCTTAAACATTTCTGGATGCTTGCAACTGCTACTTTCAATGTTAATCTGAATTTGTTAGGAAGTATGGAAGGCTTGCAGCTAGCAACATTTCTATTTGTTAGCTGATCACATCTGACATAAAAACCATTGAAGGACTGTAAACATAGCAATTTTTCAGTTGCTTTTTTAAAAGTGGGACTCAGGTAACTTGCTTCCACTTCTTTATTCCCACCTTTTCTGATTTCCTTTCTCTGGTGGTCTCCTTGCTGCTTTTGTGTATTCCCTGTCCCTCTGCGGATGGGAGGAATTAATGCATAGTCAAGGGTATCATATAATATAAAATACCAGCCAAGGTGAACTCTTGTACTGTTTACCTCTGTGTATTTGTTTTGTTTTCCCGATGTAATAATGCATGGAGCCATGTGAAATTGCGGAAGTGCCTTTAGTGAAAAAGATGGAAGTGTTCATCTCACTTGACAAAGAGGCTAATGAGATGTGGTTTGAGAGACATGACCTTAAAACAAAAATCACTTGCTCAAAGTGCTGAAACAAGTGTGTGGTTTGCTTCACAGTTCTGAATTCAGTTGCGGATGGGAAAACACTTCAGCCTTAAATTCTACCTGAATAACTTTAATGCTTTGTTTAAACAGTTTTGTAACAATCTTAAATGAGTGATTTCTTAAAATACTTTAAAAATGAGGAAAGCCATGCTTGGGTAGACCAGCAATAAAAAGAAAATACCCTTTGATTTGAAGTTGAGTTTTGAAACTTATAAATGGGAGATTGTAAGAGAGTGAGTTTCCTTACTATCGGTCAGCAAGCAGCATGTGGTAGTGTTGCATTAAATGGGACCAGGTTTAAGGAGCCTGCAGAACCAAGCACCATGTCACCTGATGTCTTCTGTTACTCCAGTATCAGAGTAGTGTGTGCTTCCTTTAGTCTGGTCTTCTCCATAGCAAAGCTATGGGTCAGAAATAGAAGCCAGATCTTAAGACTCTGTCTTGTGCTGTTACCACATCACCTTCCTTCCTTCCTCTGTTGGTTTCATTTGTATTTCACACAAGAAAAATTAGGTCGCTTTACCCCAGCGCTCTGTATTAGCCCTGGGTTATTTGTTTTGTTTGCTTTTCGTGATTAAAATGGAAGAGGAAAATGTGCTCCAATAAAGAAAACCCTCCCTGTTCGCTTTTGCATACGAGCCAGTAAAAGGTGAATGAAATACATGGAACTGAGACTTGTACTCCTCACCTTTTGAGGGGGAGTAATGTAGTCAGATCACTTTGTTTCTTTCCCCTTTACAAAGAACTAAGACCTGGTGTGGGAAGTAGCAGAAAAGGTAGATTTAATGAAACAGTCAAATCATAAAATACGTTTAACATCCTGATATTACATAGACGTTGCTTGCATCTACATATGAGTCATTAAAAGAGGCTTTGACTCATGGTCCCATCTTCCCAAACGCATAGCATCATGATTTATAAGGGGTTGACATACTGATAGCACGATGCCAAATGTGGCTTAAGTGTCTTTGGATGGCACCTGGCTGTGGCATTTTAAGTGAGACAGCAGCTTCCAGCTTTTAGTTGAGTACTAAACTCTGCAAGGCTGGGAGCTGCTATTTTGCCTAAAGGCGAAATACTGTCTGTGGTAGGCAGGATTTCCCGACTCTGGTTTCGGCTATCTGCTACACCAAGAGCGGGAGCCCTCACTTTGCATTGCGATGATGTTGGATCTGGCTTGCTTCCTTTAGAGGCAACTTCTGTCACCAATTAATGTAGAAATGTTACATATATATATTACAGTCTGCATATCATCACAGCTTGTTTGCTGAAGAGGTATTGTGGCTATGCTGTTTGACTTCCACAGTTCACTTGAGCTGAGAATGATTTGAAAACGTAAATCAAATGGCTAAAGAAAATAAACACTGGAAGACTGATTCAAATCAAACGTTTTGTGTGTGGTGAAATTACACCAGTAGGACTTCTCTGAGAGCGGCTTGCCTGAACAAACTGGAAGCATTTGAGATGCAAACTGGTGGTGTCAGTTACCTGTCCAGGAAGAGCTCTACAGCAAAAGAGCTGCAAAGCTAAACTGAGCTGCATAAAGATAAGAATGCAGAGAAATGCCCATTTTCCTTTTTTGTGTGTTTTAAATTATTTTACAATTACTTTATTTTTAAAAATACTCTGTGTAACTTGCAGCTCTTCAGTATTGCATGATGTGGGGTGTTACTGTTTTGCAATATTCTTAAGAGGCTGCAAAATTAATAGAAAATGCATTTGTCTCTGATTCAGAAGTAACTCAGTACTGTGAATCTGCCTCCAGGCTTTGTGTGTGTGGTTTTGCTTAATGGTGTATTTAGTTGATATTGTTGCTGGAGAGAGTTTCTCTTACCCAGAATAACTTGTTCTTCAGTAGTCCGGTTATTTCCAAGGAAGTAGTTACTTAAGTGTTTAGTAACAGTGAGGCGACAGGGAGTCTCAGCTGAAGAGGCAGTAGTAACTTGATTCAGACAAGTGTGGGGGATTTTTTTTGTTCTTAACTTTCCATCCAAGCTGGCACTGTAACTAAAGCAAGTGAAAGAAAGAAATCTTTCTTCTTTGATTACCTAAATATCTCTGGTCCAGGCTGGCAGATCTTGTGAGGTTTTGAAAGTCTAGTTTTCAAGCCTGATTATCCTCCCACTATTATCATTGTTGAAGTCTGTTGTCATTTTCTTTTTCAATGCACCGCATCGTGGTTCATTTCACCTGTCTATTATCATTGGTCTAGTTGTTTGTCGACTATAAGCAGTCTTGTTGGCTGGTTATTTGATTATTTACACTGTCTCGTTTGTCTTCTTGAGCTGGAGAGCTCTGAAGATTGTTTATGGCATTCCGTATTTTGGATACTCAGATCATTGTGCTCTAACTCAAACCAAACATTTGGAAATAAAGTAATGCTGCTTTTCTTGAGAGTGCCTGAGAATGAACCGTGGGTGTTCTTTAGTGTTTCTATCTCTGCACACACACACCCTCCCCCCCAAAGCGGGTGTGGGGGGGGGAGTAATTGTGTGTGTTAGGTGGGCTGTTTGCAGTGATAGAGGAAACATATGGTCTGCTTTATCTAGCCTAAGTTAAAATACCTCACTTAATATATTTGGTAAATATATTAAATAATCCATTCAAGTCATGCTTCTGTAAAGTGCCCTATACCTTTTTTTTGGAAGGCCTTGAATATTTTTGGACACAAACACACACACAGTGTTCTCTGGAAGTAATGTTTCTGTTTCACAGTAATTCACTTTGCAGGTGTTTTAGGTAGGATTTTAAACAAAAATCAACCAAACAAAAACCAAACCCACCCAACCAAAAATCCTAACCAAACTATCTTTGGCTGAGAGTTCCCCCTCAGATGCTTAAGTGGACTTAGCAGAACTTACAGTGTGCTTTTTATGCACTTCTAAGTCTAGTGTCCCAGATTTTCTGTCAACAAATTGGGGAGTAGAAGACTTTTAAAAATGGCTTGTAATATTCTGCTTAGGTCTCACTTATTACAGGTGAATATAGGAAACTTGCAAGATTTCATGCATTTGCTTTCCCATGTGCGCTAGAAATGAGCATGGGGTTTAGAAATTTGATTACTCATTAAAGAGGTTTAGACCCATGAGAAGAATGGATTGATTTACGATCTTCAGCATGCATGAAGCATTGTTGGTCCCAGAGACCTGAAATACCCCTCAACAGAGACAACTTTCAAAAAGTAGCTACTTCAAGTTTTTACCTATAATTATGAAAGAGAAAGACACTGAAAGCAGACATCTGCCATTGAGGTTTTTTCTAGATGCAGGGGGATTTAATGCATTTGTGGGATGTCAGATTCAATTTAATCACAAGTAATTTAAAGGTTTAGATATTAATGGGAAAGGAAATACTTGGTGTAGGCTTTTGGAATTAATTTAGATCATAAAAGGTTGTCATATAAAAGCTTTCCTCCAAATCTTCTCAGCAGTAGAGAAGTTATGACAATTAAAAGTCTGCAGGATGTGAAAAGTATTCCAGGAGGGAGGGGAAGGGTGGGATTCTGCTTCATCCTAAACAATGGCCTGCTAGTATTGGCATGACTCTGATTACAGAAGAGGAAGAAAAATAGTGGTGCTGTGGTTACACAATTGCCACTTCCCCTTCCCTAATAGCCCCTGTTGTCAGTGCTCTGAAGTCTGGTTCTGCTGACAGCTGTGTAATTGGGAGGACAGCTCTGTAAAATAAGGCTCTTAATATTTACATAGGTCAGCAGGATAGGTTTGAATAGCTAGCAAGACCTTCTGAACAGAGAACAGGAGTATTAATTCTTAGCTCTATGCAAGACGGATAGTTTCTGGTGTTGCAAATAATGCTTACATAGCGTATGTTTTCAAGTAGCTGTTTAAATTTTATGCTACTTAACTGTGTATTTCATCAAGAAGTTACGTTCCTGTTCTATGGACAGTGAAACTTGGCTGGTTTGCTACAGGGAAAGGGCTGTCATTAGTTCTCAGCTGGCTAAAACTCCAGTCGCTCTTGACCCAAGTGCTTAGATAAGGGAGAGCTTTTAAAAGGAAGATTCTGGTTTAGGTTTAGATATAAATATATTTGCTTTTTAAAGGTCCTTGGCTACCTGTTATAGAAACACTTATACAAGAGAGAGGAGGAGCTGGATCTTAAATATTTTTCAAGAGAGATTCTAGAAGTGTGACCACCTTAACTCTTGCATAGTTTTGGGATCCAGAGCATTTTAGCAGTGGAGCAGAACATAAGTTTATCAGAGAGTGTTAATTTTTCTTTCATGGGATTTGGGTATGGTGAGGGAACACCTTGAATTTGGGGGATGTGGTCCTCTAGTGAACAGAGGAAGACCTTGTGCATTTTAAAATAGGATTTATTATAAAACATGGTATCAATTTCAAGATCTCTACAAGTGTGCTTAATAGTGATTATGTAATGCAGCTTTTAAAATGTGATTTTCAGAATGTTGTGTTTGCTGAGTGAGGGTAGAAATTCTAGAGCTACTTTCGTACAGTGCCTGTCTGAATCCTGAGTCCTTGTTTTAGGTATAACCACAGAAATCTCTTTTCTCCTGACAGTTAAGACCTTTATCTGTGCAATGGTGATCACCCACCTACTGCTTGCTGTGGCAGTACAATTAGGAATGTGTAGATCCTTGCCTGGAGCTTAAATGTTTGCTTCCAGATGAGGACAAACTTTATCAAGTCGAATTGGTATTTATGGGACTGTAGGAAGGAGTGGGTGTGTTGGGGTTGAGAGTTGGCAATTAGAGGATGGGAGCTGATCAATTTTTTTTTTCTCACTTTTCTGGTATACTTTGCCTGAGAGCTGACTATCAATTTGTAAGAAGTAACTAAGTGGTATCTCTTTTTTTTTTTTTTTTTCTTCTTTCTTTCTTTCTCCTGCAGGCTGGTATGTGGTCTGGCAATTGTTTCTGTCTAAGTTCAAATTCCTGAGAGAATTGATAGGTGATACAGGGTCCCAACAGGGAGACAACGAGCCTTCAGAGACTGAAGCTGAACAGGAGACTCCACCCTCGCCTCAGAGAGGTAGACAGAAATCTGCTCGACAGCGAAGGGCACCTACAGAAGACACAACTTAAAGTACTCCGTTGAACTTGTGACTATGAATGGTTAAGCACCTCTGCACTGTGTCGTTCAGTGGTTTGATCTTACTGAAAAACTGACTTAAGAGGTAATATTAATACCTGTGGACCTTTACTTCTGAACTACCAATGTATGCTACTTCGGTAGAGGTTCAGGGAGGGCTTCAGCAGCAAGTCATAGAATACTGGAAGAAAGGAGGGGTGGAGAGTAATCTCCATGAGAAAAATGCTGAGCTGCTGTAGCTCCTATCTCTGCACACAGATTAAGAACAGGTCCTGGACCACAGGCTTAGCCTTTGCATTAGTCTGAATATAGTAAACTTTTCAGACTTGAAATAATTTCTAAATTATTTTTTTCTTTGCAGCACTGTAACTACATATAGTAAGATTGAGTTTTATTTCCTTACTATATATGAATATATTTTTTCTTCAACCTTGAGAATGCATGTAAACTTGAAAAATGGTTGAAAGAATCTCCTCCTTTAGAAAGTATTCTAAAGTGAGATTTTAGTTATGTTCTTATATATATAAAAAGTATAAATGACATATGAAAAATCAATATTAGATGCACATGATTTGGAGGTTTTTATTATCTCCTTTAAAACAAAAAAAGGAATCGGGTGGTAAGACCTGTTTTCTTGGTTTTGTCATAAGAAGGGTTACAGGTAGAACAGTCCTACTAGGTTTCTGTATGTTTTCCCTGAACCTTTTACTCAAAGTCTGACTTGTATTGGAGAGGGGAAGGTGCCTAGGTTATGTACTCACTGGTTAGTATTCTGAAGTGTCATCTTTGTTTTTTGGATACTAAGCACTTCTCTAGTTCACTTTGTACTCCTTTTTATCAGGTATATGTTACCTGACATAACTTCTTTCCTGGAACCAGCTAAGACATTCTGACCAATTTGGTAGATATCACTGTAACACTTTGATAGTGTTATAGCAACGAGTTTGGTACCTCATGTTTGCTGGAGGACTTTACTGATTTTTACCGGTAATAAGCATTTGCTTCCATTTTCTTTGAGAATGAGTTATATAGCTGTTTTGACATTGCACTTCAGAATGAATTGCTCCACTTCTGTTTATCTAGCAGCTCTGAAGATTGATGCATGAGATCTTTGGAAAGAGGAGGAACATGCATGTACCACCTCTGATGTGCGTATGAGAGAGAACTACCAACAGGTCTTGTCGTGAACAGCTGCAGTTTTCTCTCAGAGGTTGGATATGTGGTAATCATTGTTCCCTGTATAAAAACACTTACACAGGACTACAGGATTGGTCTTGTACTTTTGGCTGTTAAGAAACTTGTGGTTTGGTTCATTTATATGGCTAAAAGCAGCAACATTTAGCTTTTTTTTGTCAAGTAGGCCTACATCTGGGAAAACAGCACACTTTTAGTGCCTTTATGTTTTAATTTGTCATCTGTGAATACTGTTCAAAAGCTAATGAGAGCATTTATTTTATAAAATGATTTGGATGTTTCAGTATTAAACTATATAAGATCAGCCCTCACCTTCCTTTGGAGCCTAAAAGTCTTTGTTTTGTTTACTAGCATGTATGAATAAGCATGCTTTGTATTACAGGGTTACATTTTAAAGCATGATTAGGCAGTGCTGTGCACATATCCTTTCAACACATGTAGAAATACAGATAGTCTCCTTTCTCTATCCTGTCTGCTGGCAAGGGAATGCCTAATGATGGGAGTGTTTTGGTTGTGGGTTTGGTTTTTTTTAATTAGTAAAATTCCCATTTATTCAAACTGAGCAAAAGCAATCAGATTCTATTCCCTGCTGCTTTCAGTTGTTTGCCTTGCACAACTTAATGTCATGATATTCTTGTGTCTGTATTTCTTTTTGCATGATGAGACTTTCAGTTTAGCAGTGTTAACTAAGTACTGGTATGTTTTTTCTTAAGAAACATCTGTAGCATCTTTGTCTTGAGCTTTGCTAATATAGGCTTACAAATAAAGATTTTTTTTTTGTACTGATGTAGGATACTGACACTCCACTGCACTTTTACCTAGACTTTAGTGTGCAGAAGATGGCAAAAGGCTGATGCTTGTAGTATCCTTGACTGAGATAAGTAACAGTTAACTCAGTTTCTGCTTCTAGTAGCTGTGAAGATTAACATGAAGTTAAAGCAATATACATAGCTAGTCAGGGTAGCTCTAAAGGTGCAAGAGTCAGGACTATGGAGCAAGATAATGAAGGAAAAATCCATGTGGGTTTGAATGCTGACACTGATCAAATATGCAATAAGATGGATGTGGAACCTCTGGGTAGCTCATCTGCTCTGGCCAAACAACTTCCTTCTCCCTTCCTTGTTGTATGAAGGTGTATATTTCACTCCCCAAAGTTATTTTCAATCTTTTTTTTTTTTTAAATGCTCATGCTGGTTTTTTTAATGTTGCTGTGATATAGCTGCCAATAATGCTGTCTGCCTAGTATATAACTTCAATGATCTTATTAGTAGCAGGCCAAAGGCTTATATTATGTGGTTTGGAAGAAATTTGGAATGCCAATGTCTTCTGTCAATGCATAATTTTTCCTGAAAAAGTCCATAGCAAAACCTTTGTACAGGGCACTTCATGTGAACCTGTATAAGCGAAGCTGTATGTGTGAAAGCGTACTTGTGATAAGACCTGGGTTGTGATTGCTGGCAGTCCAATATACTCACGTCTTTGCGTATTTTTTACCAATGTACTTCTGAAATGTTACTGGTGGGTAAGCACTTAACTTTGAATTGACCTGTTCAAGTCTGAAACCTTAGAGAGGTAATAGGTTCCACTGTTGGTCTGTTTTGTTTAGTAGGATCTATTTTAAAAAATGTTTATTGCCTTATTGTTGCAGCCATTTTCTTGAATGTATTTTGGGTTCTTATTTTAAATATAGTCATATCACTTTTGTTATAGGGGCTGTGTAACTTTGAATAAGCAGCAATTACATGTGTTGTATGTGACAGTTAATTGAAAACAGTTACTGCAATGAAGGCTGGAACACACACAGCATAGACTGGTGGAAAAAAAAAACACAAAAGCTATTGCTAAAATTTGAGGAGCGTAAACAATTTTGTTCATGCTGAATTGCATCATTCAAACCTGTTAGGGAGCCACTAAGGTTATTATCGTGGTGATTTAACATTTGCTCATGAGGCTAATTCTATGCAGTTTATCCACTAAGCACTGCTGCTGTAGCTATTTGCAGTAAATGCCATATACTGTGCTGCAATTTGTGAGCAACTTGCTGCTTAATATCAGGTTTTACACTGAACCAGACCTGTGTATGTACTTCTGTTTTGTTTGGAAATGACCAGCGTAAAGAATGTGTTCAATGTGGTCATTTGCTTCTCCAGTGTTACGATACTGTACCTAAAGCTTCTGTGGTTGTCTGTTTTCATCGTTAACTGTTCTTTTAACTGACTGCACAGATGAAAAATAAAGTAACCAGACCTTATATGAATATTTGACCCGAGTGGTTTTCTGGGGATTTTTTTGGAGTGGTTTTTTTGCCTATAGAATAAGACTTCTTATTTGAGTGTGCAGCACTGCAAAAGAAGACTTGTCAAAAGTCACATTCTAGCTGGCATAATACCTGCAGGGGACTTCAGATGAAAGGACAGGGTAGTGTATGTCTTGTAGAGCAGTAGTTATTTAAGGTGGATTTTCTGCCTTATCCTTGAAAGTTGTCGCTTCACTTTAGCAATTAAAAAAAAAAAAAAGCCCAAACAAAATAAACCCAACAAAAATCGAACCACCTCCTCCCTCCTTTGTTCTTCATACTTTTAAGATTGTAGACTTCGTAGTTTGCCTAAAAGTAAGTATGTTGGTAAACTAGGAAGTTCTTCTAGTTTGGAAATGAAGGTGTACAGGAGAACGAAATGAGAATGTGCTTCATCCCTGATGGCTTCTGTTAAGTAAAATGCATAAATTGAATCCTGGGTTCTTTTATTGACAGAGATTAAAAGAAGATTTTTGGTGGAAAAAGATAGATATAAAATCTCTTTACTCTTGAGAGAATGAGCTGTTCTTCTACTGTCCTACTCCTGTAAAAACAGGCTACTAATGGGGTAGAGTAAAATGGTATGGCCTTGTGTAACTTAAGCACTTAGGTCTTTTGACTGCAGAAGTTTGAGTTGTATGTGGGGGTGTGTGTTGGGGGGGGGTTCATATAAGTGGAAATGATCGGTGATGGGCTACTGGTGTCAGATGCTTGTAAAACAGATGCTTGCTTTTCTACTTGGGTACTGATCCCAAGGAAACGCTTTGTGGTCTGTTCCAGCAGAATGAACGAAGGTGCCGTGGTGCAATTCTGCTCTGCCCGAAGTGCTACCAGAGGGTGTTTTAACTGATACCGCTCCTTCCACATGGGCACCCTGTGCTGTTCTCGGGGCTCCCTTCTGGGCTTGATCTTACACAAAGAAAATACACAGTCTTTGTAAAACACAAGCAGTGTTTCAGTTTGCTTGGGTAATGCTTTTATGAGGATTTTTTTTTATGTGGGATTAGACTGAAAGTTGGCAGTGTGAATGTGCTGGGTTTTAGTCTAAACCTTTAAGACATGTATATTAGCTGTAATCTTCATCTAGATCAGAAGCTCTTCAGTTTTGAGCATCTCTGTTATCCCTGTGGGTGTTTGTAGTCAATAAAACGTTATCTCTGAAAGCTGAATAGAAAGGAGGCTTTGTCACACTACTCCATAGACTGCCTGTAGAAGGGTTTGCATCTGGTCTAGGGCTTATGTTGACATGTAGCAATGTTGGACTCAGCGTCAGGCGAAAGGAATGGCAAGATGCACCAGCGGGTGGATAGAGCAGTATCACAAGTGAACAGCAGAACTCACCAGCGCTCATGTCCGAGAGCTCTCGGGGTGTGCGTGCTCACCTTTGGAGGGGGTACCACTACGGAAATCTAGGGGAGAAGTCTCTTAAAGGCAGGAGACATGTTTCATCAGTAGAACTCAAACCAAGACTAACATCCTGGGTTTTAGAAATGGGGACACTGA